GATAAAGTCAGCCATGTGAGCACTGGGGGTGGTGCCAGTCTAGAGCTCCTGGAAGGTAAAGTCCTTCCTGGGGTGGATGCTCTCAGCAATGTTTAGTATTTTCCTGCCTTTTGGTTCCTGTGCACAACCCCTAAGTCAACTTAGTGTGTTTTCCGCATCTCCATTTGGTGTTAGTGCAAGATTCAGCTAGTGACCGAGATGCAGCACCAGGAACCCTTAAACAGTTGCACAGCATCGCAGCTCGTCCTTCCTTCATTGGGATTTGTCTACATTCTTCAAGATCCCATTTAAATTCCATAGTGACTAAAGCCATTGTGCATTCTAGAGTGCATCTATTTCTATTCTGCCTGTAGAAGAAAGTGAGCTATGAAAGCTTAGTCCTCTTCGAGTAGCCTCTGGTTGGCTTTGTCACTGTTCATGACTCAGCATGGAAATAAGATGAAATTCCAGCTGGAGGTTTGGAGAAGTTGATGGTCTATTAATAAAGATGTCCGCCGGGAAAAAAAAAAAAAAAAGAAAGAAAAGAAACAGTTTGGGGCGAGGCTGACGCAACGGAAGAGGATAGAAGTGATTGGTAGCTACTCGTATCTCGTCGTCCGTCATTGGCTTCCTATTAGCAAGTGCGCAGTAGGAGGAAAAAGTTCTAGAGAAGGCCAAAGAAGGGTGGCCGAAGAGGAAATGGAATAATTCCTCTTTCGGTTCCGTGCTGCTCAGGCTTCTGGGAAATGGAGCCCCAGCGGGGCTTGGGGCCGAGTTAGAGGAAGTTGGCAGCGCCGGCACGCCCTTGTCAGGCCCAGCGGAGGATGCGCGCGCAGCACCTTCGCCTCTCCCGGAAGTTTATGCTGGGCAACTGAAAAGGTGAGTACAGGTTCCCGCTCCGTTTCGGAGCGAGAGTCCGGGCCGTGGGAAACCCGGCGCCCACGGCTCTTTCTTAAGTACCGTGGTGAAAGGCCGCTCGGGCGGGGAGCCTGTGACGTCACCGCCTGTGGGCTGTGGAAGTCGACCGTGGCGGGGTTGGGGGGGGAGAACCCCCACTCATACTGCGCTGCCCGTGGGGTGGAGCCTCCGCGGTCCTGTCATTGCTGGTTTCTTTTGGATTGTGGGGCCCCAGTGCAGTTTTTGTTACCTAGGCACCTGCTAGTCCAGCACTTGTGGAAGACTGTCTAGCCTTTGGTCCCCCGGTATGCTGCGTTCTAGGGACAGGAGCATAGTCGACGATGCCAAGCTGATGTTAATAAGTAAGATAAATTAAATAAGCGGACGGATGCAGAATAAAGGCAGACTTGAGTATAATAGCCGAAATCACTGGCTGTGCAATCTTCGACGACAGGGGACCTCAGCACTTTGGGTCCCCTTCGTTCCTTCCGGCCGCACTGATTTAGCACTATTGTATGTAAGGATCTGCGCCGCATAAGTCTGTAGCTCTATACTCCAATGGTAGTGATGGCTAAACGTGGCTAATAGCTAGAGTCCTAGCATTTGGAAGGCCATGTCGCGAGGATTTTGGAGACTAGTGAGTTCCAGGACAGCCCTGCGTGGATTACAGAGTGACACCCTGTTCTGGTAATAAAGCTGGGTGTGGTGGTATGTGCTGGTAAGTTTAGCACTTGGGAGGTGAAGACAGGAGGCTCAAAAGTTCAAAGTCAGCCTGGGCTACTTAAGGCCCTATCTAAAATAATGTGTGTGTGTTTTTTAAACCTTGCCTAAGGGTTGGAGAGTTGGCTCAATTTTTGAGTGCTTACTGCTCTTCCAGAAGACCCAAGTTGCTTCCCAGTTCCAGGGGATCAATGCATGTGACCTTAATGGGCACTTACATCCACATCCCCATGTGCAGACATACACGTACATAAATTGAAATCATAAAGATAAATGTTCCTGGGGCTGGAGAGATGGCTCAACCGTTTAAGAGCTGCTTTTGCAGAGGACGTGGATTTAACTCCCAGCAGCCTCGTGGCAGCTAACAACTGTCCGTAACTCTAAGATCTGTCACCCTCGCACAAACATACATGCAGGGAAAACTCTAGTGCACATGAAATCAAAATAAGTTTTTTTTAAAGGATAAATATTTCTAAGCCCTGCACAACTAGTTTATATTCTAACATTGGTTGGTTGCCAAACAGAAAATGTAGTCGGTTGTGTAATATGCCTCCATAGAGCCTTACCTGCACGTCTGTGCAGAATCTGGAAAACAGAAGGCTTTCTCTGCCTGCAGTCCACATGGTGCCCGGGGTGGCCGGCCTGGTTCTGCTGTGGTGGTCAGCAGAGATAGTGCTGTGCTAGTTCCAGATTCTCTGCCTGTATATGGCATGGATTTGCAGTTCCTGGGGAGGCCAGCAGAGGGTATCAGTTCCCCTGGAACTGGAGCTGAAGTTAAAGGTGATTGTGAGCCATCCGTCAAACTTGAGTGAGAGACTTGTTGCAAAATATTTGTTTAACTATGTAAAGATGTGTTGCTGTTTTATCTTGTCTGCCTATGGCACCTGATTAGTCTAATGAAAAAACTGAACAGCCAATAGCAAGGGAGGAGGTGTAGGCAGGCCTTCTGGGCAGGGAGAGTAAGTAGGAGGAGGAATTTAGGTCAGAGGGAAGAAAGAGACACCAGGAAAATGCCAGGAGCCAGACAGACAGACAGACAGAGGAAGCGGGAAAATAGGACATACACAATGAAAGAAAGGAAAAGGCCCAGAGGCAAATGAATAGAAACATTAAATTAAAAGAACTAGTGGGACAAGCCTAAGATAAGGCAGAGCATTCATAATTAATAAGTCTCGTGCCTTTATTTGGGAGCCGGTTTGCAGCCCAAAGAAAATTCCAGCTACAGAGACTGGATTCGGGTCCTATAGCAGAATAGTGTGAATTCCGAATTATTAAGACATCAAGCCTGTCCTCAAAACTGACTTCAGTGGATCCCCATGGCCCCTGTTTTGATTGTAAATCACAGTAACAAGATGTGGAACCTGATGTTACCTGTAGTGAGAGGGGGTGACAGCCTAGGCTGGTGACAGTGTGGGAGAGCTAGAGGCCAGTGGTTACAAGCCTGGTGTTCCCTGGCTCAGTTTCGTACCAGCATCACCTTCCACATGGGACCCTCCAGGAACATTCTGCTCTGAAGCTAGGAACCCAGTCCATTTTCTTGATGTTTACTTTGTAAGTCAGAACCGGGTTGGGCTGGCCATGGTGCGCATGTGAGACCCTGGCCCTCGGGAAGTAACAGCAGGAATACAAGGCCAGTGCTATATAGACCCTATCTCATGGGCACTCAAGTAGCACTTGCTGACTGACCAATGCCCAGTAAATATTAGCCAGTACCTTTCCCTTATAAAATGAGTCTCGGTTCATGTCTTCCCTCTTTGTTCTTTTCCAGGCTGTTGTCACGATGGAGTTTCCAACTCAGTAATCCAAGGACTAGACCCTGAGTCCACAAAGGTACTGTTGCCCCTGCGGCCTGTTTCCCACCAAGAGCCCAGCCGTACTGCCTCCTCTCTATGGCCGCTGGTAGACCTCCCTGCCCTGTCAGTTTGGGTATGGCAAGGCTCACCTAGTCAGGCATTGGCTCCTTCAAAGAGGCCACCTTTTCCCAGTGACCACTGAAGAAAATAGACATAACATGGAATTAGCAAAGAACACCAACAGAAGTAGGTGTGGTGGTGATACCTGTTACCTTGAGGTAAGCCTGGACTATACAGCAAGACCCTGAGCAACGGTTAATACTATCGGCTTGACTGGAAGGATCATCTTGGAGACAAACGTGTGGGAAGGATTATCTAGATTGTGTTTGTTGTATCCCGAATGTGGGTGGCAACATTTTCTGGGTCCTGGACTGTATAAAAAGGAGAAAGTGATCTGGGCACCAGCATGCATGGCTCTGTGCTTCCTGACTGTGTGCAGTGTGACCAGGTGTGAGCAACTGCCTGCTCCTGCTGCCATGACTTCTGCCATGACGGATTGTGCTCTTGAACTCTGAGCCTTCAGTTGCTTTTGGTAGGATATTTTATCACAGAAACAGAGAAAGTAATTGAGACACCGTATCTCAAACAAAACACAGGCACACATACAGTTTATAGACAGAAAACAAACAGGGAGTTTGCAGTGGTGGCACACGCCTTTAATCCCAGCATTTGGGAGGCAGAGGCAGGTGATCTCTGAGTTTGAGGCCAGCCTGGTGTACAGAGTAAGTTCCAGGACACCCAAGGCTACACAGAGAAATCCTGTCTCCAAAAAACAAAACAAAACAATAAAAAACACCAGAGATTTCTAAACCGCTCCACTTTTTACATAAGTCAAGTGGACTGTCTGATCTTACTCAGTCTAGGCTGTGAAATGCCACAGTAACAAATAGCCCCTAAGTCTGTGGCTTGACACAGTTACACATTCTCTTTCACTGGTACCAACTTCAGACGACTGTCCATATCCAGTTTTGGTCTGGTGGTTCCAGAGTCACCACCTAAGCTTCAAACTTGTCACCACCAGAAGGGAGAAGGAGAAAGAGACACTAACAAGAAATAAAAATAAAAAAGCCTCCCCAGTATTTGTCCTATTGACAGAACAGTTGTGTAGTTGGCTTTTTTACTCTTTACTCAGCTCCCAAGTAATCACATGGAGAGACTCACTCTTGCCTCACCTGCAGGGCCTGGATAGCTGAGACTGGGGTGGGGGAGGGGTGCCGGGATTGAGACAGGGAGGCTTCTTTTCAGGTGGAAGAATAGCAACCTTTTTTTTTTGCCCCGAGCTAAAGCCTTTTATACCTCTACTGCTTCTGTGGAAAACCATTGGCCAGAAAGAACACAAACATCCTTGTCAATTTCAGACCACAAGGAAGTTCTGCTGTCAGTCAGGGGGAGTGAGGGCAGCTGGATCACAACAACTACCCCCACCCCCGTTTTATTTTATAAAATAAATTATGTCTGTCTTGTTACTTTGGGTGGAATACCTTGCCTGTCATGGGGAATAGCCCTCTAATATTCCCGGTCTTAGATGGTATTCTGCCCCCAAAGTATTGCTCATCCGTGGCTACCCAAATACATAGCCCTAAACCAAGTATCCCCAGGACTGACAGTGCCAACTAGCCAGACCAGCGCTGCAGCCATCTAGCATGCACTAACTGGGTGGTAAAATTAACAAAAGCAGTATTGCAAACCCCTCTCATATGACGGTTGAGTTCCTTAACAGTAGCAGAAGCATGCAATACAGTGCCATGAGTAACGCACATAACATGATAAAAAGCTAGAACATGTTAGCCGTTGAAAAGTCCAAAGATAGTCTACTTGCTCCTGAACCAGAGCCACTTGTTGGTTCAAGGTCAATATTAAGATTGCTGACTCTGAGCCAGCTGGTTGACAGTCTCAGCTGTCTGCACAGTCTGGGAAAGAGCAATTCCGGCCGCAGTATCTGAGGTAACAGAGATAGCAATAACGGCAATCACAGCTGCAGTGATTCCAAGGTCTCTCTTCTGCTGATCTATGGTCCAGCACTTGTTGCCATATTTGCTGATACTCCTGACACCGCCGTAGTGTCCCCTGGGCCGGGCACTGACTGGGCCAGGGCAACATGCCTGGCAAAGCTCTCCTCCAGCTGCCTTCTGGCCCCAGCCACACTCTCTCTGGGTCCAAACTGCTGCATGGAGTGGAGCAGAAGTCAGGGAAGCAGGCTCGCTGCTCTGCCCCAGAACCATTGAAGGGGCCCCACTTTAACAATCTTTTAGGGAATTTGGGCGTTGTCAACAAGACTAAGCTATTGACCAGGCATAATAAGTCTCTGTGTGGTTATTGGGGGCGGCTGGTGGCACAGAGCTGAGCAAGGGTCCTGGGGAGAACTCCGTCTGCATTTCTCCTCTGTGCTGAGGATCTGTAACCACTTGTCAGGTTGGCTTGTGACTTTCAAAGGCAAATTCTGGAATTCTCTCAGCCATCAGTCAGACGAAACAGGCCCAAAGGCTCTGAGATTTCCCCGTGGAAAGATGAAAGTGCAGGAATAGCAGTAAAGGGGTGGTGGGAGCAGCTCAGCTGGGAGAGCTGGTTTCTGCTGGTTTCTGCTGCTGAAACACTCTGACCAGATAGAACTTAGGGGAAGAAAGAAAGGACTTGTTTGGCTTACACGTCCAAGGTACTGTCCATCGCTGAGGGTGTCAGTATGTACCTGGTTCTGGTTCAGAAACTGGAGGGCCACCGCTTGCCGCTCATGGTCATCTCTCTGGTTCTTTTACAGTCCATGACAGTCTGCACAGGCAGTGGTGCTACCTGCAGTAGGCTGGTCCCTCCTGCGTCCACCCACATGAAAACCTGATCCAGGTAGTCCCTCAAATGAAGCTTTCCTCTCAAACGCTTTCAGGCTATGTCAAGTTGATAATTAAAGCAAAGACATCAAACAAATATAAAAGACCTGAGTTCAATTCTCTCGACTCAGAAAAAAATCTGAGTGTGATAAGCATACACCTATAATCCTAGCACTGGGATTCAGAGATGGGGCTTCATAAGTTGAATTGGCCAGACACACTGTCTTCTTGACAAGCTACAGACGGGGAGAGGCATTGTCTAACACACAAGGTGGGTGGTGCCTAGGGACCCACACCTGAGGCTGACCTTGGCTTTCCCCACGGTTCACACTCTGGATGGTTCATTCTGATCCCTGTCCCCACCTTCTGTGTTGCAGCATGATCTCCTTCTGTCCAGTCTGTGGCAAAGGTGTCAAAGGATCATTCAAGTTCTGCCCATTCTGTGGCAATTCCCTGCCTGTAGAGGAGCATGCAGAAGCTCAGACTGGCCTTTCACCTCCTGGGTCATCCTTCCAAGGTAGGAGCCTCCTGCAGCTTCTTACAGCTTCTAGTTGGTGCCGTCCTGTTGGAATTCCTGTCTGCGTACTTGTCAGAGGTGGTCTGGGGCGTCAGGACCACAAGAGGACGTTTCTGTCGCAGTTAAGCATGTCTGCAAGAGCAGAGGAGGCCCTGGGAGCTCCGTTTCTTTAGCAAACAGTTCACTGGACAGCTGTTCTTAGAAGAAAGATGTGGAGCTGAAGCCAGCAGGAGCACAAGTCAGACTTAGCAAACGCAGCGCTTCCGTCTCCATAGTCCTAGTAGCTCGGCTAACTGTTGCATGGCCATAGTGCAGGGCAGTAGTTGGGCTGCGTTGGATGCATATTAGCACACTGAGTGTTTAGTGTCTATTTCTTGTTCAAGGGCACACGTGTGGAGTTTAGAGGGCAGCGTACAGGAGTCCACAGTCTCTCCCCCATGTGCGGCCTGGGGGTTGAACTCTTGTCTTAGGCTCAGTAGCAAGTGCCCACTGAGCCATCGTGCTGGGCTTCTACGGTCTTTCTAGGCATCGTGGTGGAGGTTGTCAGCTGTCATGCTATTGGGGTCCACACAAATATCGGCAAAGCATGTTTAATGTTTGCAGAAAGGAATAAAAGTGCTTTAAATACCCATAAAAGCATATAAATAGATACGTACATACATAATCATTGCCACATGAAACTTAGTGTATGGGGCTGGAGGAATGGCTCAGAGGTAAAGAGCACTGGCTACTCTTCCAGAGGTCCTGAGTTCAATTCCCAGCAACCACATGGTAGCTTACAACCATCTATAAGGCGATCTGGTGCCCTCTTCTGGACTGCAGGATACCTGTAGGAAGAACCCTGTATACATAATACATAAAAATCTTTAAAAAAAAAATAGGAAGGAAGGAAGAAAGAAAGAAAAGAAAGAAACTTATGTATGCTTTAAATGGCAGACTAGATAGGGCTGGAGAATTTGCTCCAAAGTCGAACACAGTGGCATCATACCTGTAATCCCAGCATCGGGGAGGCTGAGGAAGGAGAACTGGGATCTTCCTGATTTTAAGACCAATCTAGGCCATATAGAAAGACCTTGTCTTTTCTTTTTGCTTTTTATTGCTTTGTTTTGTTTTTGTCTTGTGTAGCCTTGACTGTCTGGAACTCTAGACCAGGCTGGCTGTTGTGTCCGGTGTGGTTCTAACGGGTCTATGGAAAGAAGACACAGAGGCACTCTTAGGATGGCTTTTTAACTGTGCGGGGAAGCGGGGGAGGTCAGCCCCTGGCGGATTGACTCACTGTAGCTTCACAAAGCTCCCCAAAGAGACGAAGCCAGTGCAGATTCTCAGTTAAGAGACTTCTTGGTTTGCCAAGTCCTCCGTAACCAAGTTTTGCATAGGCTTTGAACCCTAGGACACTCTCAGATAAGATTTACATACTTCAGGAAAAAAAAAAAGTATTACCCAGAAAAGGCAGATCAAGGCCAGGTGCTTTGAGTCAAATGAGCTGCACAAGTGCAGACGCTCAGATCCTCCTGCTCTGCCTCTCAAGTGCTGGGGTTAAAGTGAATTAAAGGCCCGAGCCACCACAGCCCAGCTGCAGGATCTTGTCTTAAACAAACGAACAACAAACAAATGCCGGACCAGCAGGCTGGCTCGGAGAATAAAGTGCTTGCTGCACAAGCTGACCAACTGCTTCAACCCCTTAGAAGCACAGTGCAAGGAGAGAACTGAGTCCCAAAAGTTGTCATCTGACTTCCGGTATACACATTCATGCTCACACACACACCTGTGTGTCCCTGTGTATGCACACATACACATTGATAATACAGTAAATTAAAATTTTCAAAAATGGTCCTGGTAGTGGTGACGTGCACCTTTAATCCCGGCACTCAGGAGTCAAAGGCAGGCAGATCTCTGTGAGAAAGTTCCAGGACAGCTAGGACTGTTACACAGAGTAACCTTGTCTCAAAAAAAAAAAAAAATTCAAAAAAGAAGTTGCTTAGAAGACAGCAAAATGACAAGTCATGGAAGATATAAAAGAGGCTGGGGCTGGCGGAAAAGAGATAAGCGGGAAGAAGGAACACTGGGTCAGGGCAGTAGAGACAGCAGGGCTGCAGCGTTCAGGACTGGCTGTACCTGGAAGGCCCTTCAGAACTCTAATCTGCATTTGGTTCACCTTTAGGCTCAAGGAGAGGGCTGAACTCCAGTCCTGAAACCTCCCCCAAGAAAGTGAAATGGTCGCCCACTGTCACTTCTCTTCCACCCTCTGTCCCTTCTGGCTGTGGCAGTTCTGACTCTGAAGAATCCTTTAATTCTCCTGAGAGAGCCACAGGTGAGAGAGAGTTGGGACTGGTCCGTGTCTGGAAGGGGCAAAGATGGGGCATTTGAGTGTGCCTGGTCCAAGGGGCTGGAGCGGAGGCTCAGCGGCTGAGAGTCCTGGCAGCTCTGGCTTCAGGGGCTCCAGTGCGCTCCTCTACCTCCAAGGCACTGCACTCGAGTGAAATTACCCAGCCCCCACACAAACACACAGACATGGTCAAAACTAACATAAAATCAAGAAATTAAAGCAATGTTTGAGGAAAAACTGCTGTTGTTTCAATTCATTGCCTGGAACTTCTTCCCAGTGTCCCCTTCCTGTCTGTCCCCACAGGTACCTTTCACACCCACAAGTGGATCCATTGCCCACAGTCCATGCCCCTGCCTCTACTCTGACCACTCCACAAACCCAGCACCTCGCTTATCTGTGCTCCTTTATCATTCTGTATGTTTTCTAGACAATTTCTTTTGTTTGTGTTTGAGACAGGTTCTCACTATGTAGCCTAGACTGGCCTGAAACTCCCAGCTCTCCTCCTGGCTCAGCCTCCTAAGAACTTGGATTATGGGAATATGCCATCACAGTCAGTTTCTGAGTAATTTCTTCATCTCTAGCTCCCAATTTATGATTTCTTTCTCTAGCCATATCTAGCCTGCCACTTAAAACACATACTGTGTTTCTGACTCCATATCCCAGTTTCAGCTGAGCCACTTGAGGGCCCTCCATCTCTAAGTTCTGCTCCTGTGTTCCCTCAGACCAGCCTTCACCACTGCTCCCTCTGGCTGGACCTGCCCTCGTTTGTCCACTTGTCACCTCTGGTTCCGTGTCCCTTGTAGCCTCTCTACCTGCCCTGCATGTTCTTTGTGGAAAGGACCATACAGGACTCGTGTGTCTTCCCAACTCTGGCTGGGAAGAGAGGCCTGATGTCCGGGCTTCCTGGGCCCTCTGCATAGTTCAACACATAGCCAGGACCCATTTCAGGGTATTTTGGAGTGAATGTCTGTAATGCCCTTTCTATCGGGCAGACATCTATTAACCCGTAAGACCCTGCTCTAATGTCCCCTCCCCGAGAAAGCCTCCCTTGACTTCTTCCGGTCACCTATCTCTTCTCTGGCCCCAATATCCACCTTGACTGTTTCATCTCTGATTCAATTCTGACTGGTTATATCTAGGTCATAATCCCTACCATACTGGGAAGGGTCCCGACCTGACCCATGAGGGTCTCCGATACTGTAAAACAAAGATTCTGCTCTATGGGAGCCAAGGGATGGTGTGGGAAGTCCTTCTGTCTATGAGTTGCTTTTATTGGTTAATAGAGAATCTGTCTTGGGCGTGGCAAGGCAGAATAGAGGTAGGCAGGGAAAACTAAACTGAATGCTGGGAGAAAAAAGGCAGAGTTAGAGGCCATGTAGCTGCCAGCTGGCACCTTGCCAGTAGACCACAAACCTCATGGTAAAATATAAAATAGTAGAAGTGGGTTAATTTAATATGTAAGAGCTTGCTAGGAATATGCTATAGTGATTGGCCAAGCAGTGGTTTAATTAATACGGTTTCTGTGTGGTTATTTTGGGTCTAAGTGGCCGGGAACAAACAAGCAGCTTTCCCACAACACAGCGAGAATCCCCAAATGAGTAGGAGGATCTCAGCCCTGCTTCTCTCTGCTGCTTTCTCTTTATCTGGTCATCTCCCTGCAGGTACCTGGAGCAGACCCCTGACCCCCAGAGGCAGCCCCCAATCCTCCAGGCGAAGTCCTCAGACACTGAAGCGGAGCCGGGTGACCACCAACCTCCAGGCTTTGCCCACAGGGACAAAACTGACAGACAAGAAAGGGCAGCACTGGACACTGGGGGCCCTCCAGACCCGGGATGACCAAGGCATTCTCTATGAAGGTACATGCTGTTCCAGTGCACAGGGGAAGCACCACAAGGACACGGGAGGTATAATACCCAAGGACAGCAACTTGAAGGAGGAAAGATCAGCTAGGGCGCAGGGTTCCTTCCACCAGTGTTAATCCATCAGGACAGGGAGAGCAGAGCAGCTCAGACCAGGTACCCAGGAACCAGAGGAAAGGGTTACAGGAGATGACCAAGGCAAGGGGTGGCCATCAGGGACATACCCCAGTTGCCTCCTTCCTCTAGCTTGACCCCACCTCCCAGTGATGCTGTTATATTTGAGTCCTTCAAAGGACTAACCCATCCTTGAGGTCAGAGCCCCAGGACCTCATCATCTCTGGAAGCCATGGTAGTCTCCCGGAAGATGTTCCTAGCCTTGCTACTCCTCAGTCCCATCAAGTTGATGGTCAAGATAGCATCAGGACGGGGTGTGGTGAAGGGCTGTCTGTTCTGCTTCCATTCTGCTGGGAGAAGGTGGTGGATTGGGTTCACAGTTCCAGTTCATGATAACAGGGAAATAAGGCAGGAACTTGAGGGGGGCTGGTCACAACCATAAAGAACAAAGGACAAAATTGAATGCATGTTTGTTTGCATGCTTGCTTGTGCTCAGCCTGGCATCTCCACTCTTACAGCTCAGGGCCCCTTCCTAAAGAATGTGCCACCCACAGTGGGTTGAGTTTTCCCACATCAGTGCAGACAGTCCTTCATTGAGACTTTCTCCCCAGCTGCTTCTAGATTGTATCATGTTGACAAGTCTAACTATCACACTCACCTAATCTCTGGAACTTTGGAGAGGGGAGGGAGGGAGGCAGATACACATAAAGGAATAGGTTTTGAGCACCAAGTGTGCACTTTGCCATGGGAACCAGAGAACTGGCTCCTGGTTCTGACAGCTTGGGGGTCAGTGGCCCTGACTCTCCCCTTAAGTTCTGAAGTTTCTCTCTCTGCCATTCCACAGCTGAGCCCACTTCTGCCCTCCCCTGTGAATCAAGGACTGAGAAGTATAGATTCTCACTCAAACTGGTAAGTGGTCCAGGGGAAGCTCAGAAGGGAGGGTGCAGGGCTTTCAAATTAACCCTTGACTTCTGAGTCCCCTCGCAGCCTGGGGAGCCAACCCTGGAAACAGGGTGCTCCTAGTCTATGAAGAGCCATGGGACTCTGACTGAGCATACTCCTTCACTTTGGGGAGCAGAGGTGAGACATGGTGCTTCCTGGTCATGTGACACTCTCCCCTCTCAGCTCCAAGCTTCTGCATCAGTACTGCTGACTTCCTGAGCCTGCCTGCCCACTGCAGCCTGCCTTCTACATAGAATGTGTCAGCTTTGTGTGACAGTATTTCGGTGTAAAACACATCAAGGGAGGAGGGATTTATTTGGTTCATGATTTGAAAAATATGAGTGTATCATATGAGGGTATTGCCAAGCAGAGCATCTCACTTGTCAATCATATGGGGAAGATGTGGCCCAGAGCAGTTCTCGTTGTGGCAGCCAGGAAGCAGAGAGTCGAGAGAGCATGAGCAAGAGGATGTGGCGGTGGACAGTATCTGTGCAGACCCCTGCGGCCTAGTACCATCTGCTTCAAGTTCTGTGTGACGTACCCCAGCTGTCTCTGTGACGACCCCAGCTGTCTGTGTGTGACGTACCCCAGCTGTCTGTGTGTGACGTACCCCAGCTGTCTGTGTGTGACGTACCCCAGTTGTCTGTGTGTGACGTACCCCAGCTGTCTGTGTGTGACGTACCCCAGCTGTCTCTGTGACGTACCCCAGCTGTCTGTGTGTGACGTACCCAACCCCGTGCACTGCCTCTGGATCCCGTCAGCAGTCTTTGAGGTTGCCACTGCATTCCAAATTAACAGAAGAAAGGAATGGAGAGAGATGGGGAGGGAAAGGGGCAGGAAAAAAGGAAGAAAGGAGTCGGATTGGGGTGCACCTCAGTCAGTTAGTATAGTGCCTGCCAGTGCACAGACCCTGGGTCTGTCAGCACACTGCACAAGCCAGCTGTGGTTCATGCCGTCACTCCAGCATTCAGAATGCGGAGGCAGGAGGATTCAGTTTTCAGCTACATCAAGAGTTTGAGGCCAGCATTGGATACATGAGGCCATGTCCTAGAAGAATCCGGGGCTGTAGAGGATGGGGAGGAAGGGAAGGGAGACCAGGGGAACAGAAAGAGAGGAGACTGTTGGGCAGAAACCTGGCTGTGTTTAATGCTATGGTCTTCAAAACCAAGGTAGAATAGCATATATAGTTAAAAGATTTGGCTTGACTGGTGTGTGTGTGTTCAATCTTTAAAATACATATTTTATGTGAATGAGTATTTTGCCTGCATGTATATCTTTGTACCATTTGCTTGTTTGGTGCCCACAAAGGCCAGAAGAGGTGCCAGGTCCCCTAGAGCTGGACTTACAAGTGGTTGTGAGCTGCCTGATGTAGGCTCTGGCAACCAAACCTGGATTCTCTGAAAGAGCAGCTAGTCCTCTTAACCACTGAACCATCTCTTCAGCCTCTGACACACCTTTTTTTTTCTTTTCTTTTTTTTTTTTTTTTTTTTTTTTTTTTTTTTTTTTTTTGAGTCTGGTTCTCAATACATGGGCCAGAGACCAGGTTGGTCTGGATTCCCTGGTAGTGGTGGTTATGTCCTCATTGGCCAAAACTTGGTCATGAAGCTGTGCCTCATTGCAAAGGGGGCTGGAAAATGAAGTTTTTAGCTAAGGGCCACATGTCTAGGGCAAACTTGTGGGTCTTACCATGAAATAATCAAGGGGGTGGGTACTGAGAAGCACAGCCTGCTCAGTCAGGACCCTTCAGTACTGTCCTGATATAGGGACAGGAAGACTCAGTCTGCTGGTGTCACCCTGGGGTCTGGCTGAGAATTTGGGGCCCTTGTCTAAGGGAGTTTGGTATAACAGCCTCTGCCCTCCTCTCACCCCCAGGACTCCAAGAATGGGCGCCTTTTCAATGAGCAGAACTTCTTTCAGAGGGCAGCCAAGCCTATGCAAGGTATTCCTTGGGGACTGTGCAGGAGAGTTAAGTCGGGTGCTAGGGCCCATAGGGTGCTCCACGGTGACTGGGCAAGTGACGGGGTCCTCAAGATATTTAATGAAAATGGGTATGCATCTACCTGCACCCACAACCTGACTCCCATCACCCTCAGCCCTCTGACCTCAGAAGACAGCTCTGCAGAGACAAATGGTGATTGTCAGCACACTGTATGACAATCACATCACAAATCTTAGGGAAATTTTTAACTAAAAATTGGTTACTTTCAAAACAAACATACACATGGTGCCTGGTGTCCTAGACTTTTCTGTTCTGTAGCCATGCTCCATGGGTTGACTGACTCTATCATGTGCTCAGAGGGCACTGCCTGCTCCGCCCCACCTCCAGCTGCGCTCACGCCTGTGCTGCTGCCGCCGACACTGGCCTGCTGGGAAGTACTTACCCCGTAGGTCAGAGCTGACCTACCAGCTGCCATGGACCCCTGCCAGCCCGCACCTGGCCAGATCTCAATACACCCAGCCCCTCTGCACTAGCCCAGGGGCCAGTGATGCTGTGGCTGGTTAGATTTCTGCTAATCTTATCTGCTTTGCATGTAAACTCAGAGATCACCCTGTCCGCCCTCCCTTCTTCCTTTTCTTTCTTTCATTATTTTGAAACTGGGTCTCATGTAGCCCTGGGTTTCTAGAACTTGGAATGCAGTCAAGGCTAACCTTGAACTCCTGATCGTCCTGCGTCCACCTCCTGATTAGTGGGATTCCGTGTGCTCCAGCACGTTCCATTTTATGCAGTACTGAGGATGGGACCCAGGGCATTACACATGCTAGGGAGGCACTCTGCCAACTGAGCCCATCGCTCATACCTGTTGCTCTTAACCTCTTTCCCTCGTGCCGGTTTTGTGCATGTTTGCCTAGCAGTTGCTGGCAGAGGTGGTTCACAGATGTGCCCACCCTGTCCCACCTCTTGTCACTGTCACCTGCAAGGACATCATACCATTGAGGACAAATAAAGAGCTCAGAGTCTGGTCTGGGCTCTCTGCGTCTGGCTAAGCAGGGCTTGTTCCTGTGAACCTGGCACCTGGCACCTGGCCGTGAGTCTGACCCGAGTCTCTACCTCATGCAGTGAACAAGTGGAAGAAGCGATGCTTGGTTCCGCTCCTGGCCATCCCCACCTGCGTTGGCTTTGGCATTCACCAGGACAAGTACAGGTGAGTCGCCTCCCTTGCTGCTGCCACTCCTTACCCCAGCCAGTGGCCCCTCTGCTGTATAAGTAGGCTTTCTCAGGGGGACATCTGTGCCCTTCAGAATGGGGCTGTGGCTCATATGACCAGGGTAGGTCCAGCTTTCCAAGTGATGAATTTTATTCAGCTTAACTTACAGAGCAGCAGGTGACCTCAGCATCTCTTCCAGCAAAGTCTCACCGCCCTTAATTGTTCCTTTCTTTTATTGGGCAGCAGAGCGGAAGGGAAAAAAGCAAAGTGGAACAGGCAGCAAAGAGAGTGAAGGCTCAGAGACCCAAGAGTAAGGAAGGGCAGCATACCTACGAGGCCCCTGCTTGCTGAGAGCTGGGTTGTGGGAGCTGGTGGAAGCAAATGGGATTCTTTACACTCTGGTCAAGGACTAAGGGGTAGAGAACCTCAGAACTTACGGGGGAAAGGGACAGGGTGCTCAAAGGCAGAAACCCACAGCTATGGACTAGCACTGACGGAGATGGGTGTCCTAACTCACCCTGTCCAATTCCTGTGGGATACCTTGTAGGGCTTGTAGCTCCCATGGTTCTGTCTTCTAGGTTCCTGGTGTTCCCCAGCCTGGGGAGGAGCCTTCAGTCAGCCCTGGATGACAACCCAAAGCATGTGCTATCAGAGAAATGTGTGCTGCAGGTGGCCTGCAGGCTGGTACGTACCTCAGAACCACTCCTCCTCATCTTCAAATCCCAACTTCCCCATCAGACAGATTAACTCATCTTCATGGGTACACAGAGGCCAGAACACCAGTAGTCTAGTTGGGCGGGTAATGATATCCTGCAGGATCAGCCTGGAGGCCCAGCCTGGAACAAAAGGTGCAGGCCATGGAGCCTGGACTCTCAGGATGAATGGGAACGATTAGGATGCTGGGTGGAAGAATGGCGTTGGTATGTAGGAGAGAACTTTCCAGACTAAGGAGGCAGCTTGGGCCAAGGCTTGTGTCTTACTTACCTTTTTATTGCTGTGATAAGACACTGTGACCAAGGACCACTTCAGGAAGAAAGGTTTCTTTTGGGCTCATGGTGGCAGAGAGTTAGAGTCCATGTGGCAGAGTGGCAGGCGGAGGAGAAGCTGAGCGCTCAGCCCGACAGCCCTGAAGCAGCCTGCAACGTGAATGCAAGGAGGCTCCAGAAGCACCTCCTCCAACACGGCTGCATCTGATTCTTCTCAGACAGTTCTGCCGACTAGGGACCACATACTCAGACACCCAGGACTGCTGGGGACACCTCACTCAGACCAGCGCAGCTTGTGCAGAGATGTTGCTCGCTCCCACACTCATTCCTTCACTCCTCATGCGCTCACTAAAGAGTCTCCCAGTGCCCAGCTTTCTCTGGCTGCAATCCTGTCTTCCTGTCTTCATTCTCACAGTTAGGTAGACAGGGCTCTGGCAGACAGTTGGCTTTCAGAAACGACCCCTGTTTGCCAGGCAGTGGTGGTGCACACCTTTAATCCCAGCACCAGGAAGACAGAGGCAGGTGGATCTCTTGAGTTCAAGGTAGTCTGGTCTACAGAGCAAGTTCCAGGACAGCTAGGGCTACACAGAGAAACTCTGTCTCGAAAAACAACAAAAAAGAAATGACCCCAGCTTAATGAAGAACGCGGAGCCAGATCACATAGCTGGAGAGATGTAAGCACCACGGGAGTGATGTGCTCATTGGGTGAGGTGAATATCCTGGCATCATCTATAGTGTGGGGGAGGTCAGTGCGTGCAGAGAACAGCCATCAAGTCCACCACACAGAGTTCGAATGCCAGGTGAGGAGCAGGGGCTGCTGGGGGCAATGGGAAAGAAAGCTGGACAGATGAGGCAGAAAGACCCGCAGGCCATGTGGGGTTGAGTTGGAGCAAGGAAACTTGAGGCAGGATGAAGGCTCAAGTGAGGATGGGAATTGCAGAACATCCTGGCCAGGGGAAGGAGAGATTATAGAAGAACAAGTGGCCCCGGGGTCAAGTAGGGCTCTGGAGACAGAAGCAGGATGTAACTGACACCCAGATGGCTCCTCATGACTGTTCAGAGTTCAGTGTAAAAGTCTGAGCTGGAGATACAGGTAGAGATTGCTGGAAAGGGACGCCGCTCAGCAGCAGAGCTACTACTAGAACCCCCAGTAAGGGGCTTAGCAGTTTGCCTCTTCACTCTTAGAAACACGAGCAGAGCTCTGGTGTTGAAGGTGCCAGTTACTTCTGCAGAGGGACTCTAAGTCACAGGAGGTAGATGGAAAGCTAACTTGCTGATTTTTTTTTCTGGATTTTTTTGAGACACAGTTTCTCTGTGTAACAGTCCTGATGTCCTGGAACTAGCTCTCTAGACCAGGCTGGCCTTAAACTCACAGAGATCTGCCTGCCTCTGCCTCCTGAGTGCTGGGATTAAAGGTTTATGCCACCATGCCTGGCTAACTGCTGAATTCTTTAGAAAGTCTAACGTGAGCCATGACCAGGCATGCTAACCCAGTGAACTGCCTCATGCTACGCTAGAACTTGGTAGGATCCCCTTCAGTCCAGTCTGGTGTCCCTAGGCTGAGAGAGTTGCTCCTTTCCTGTTTGTCATGGCTCTGTCAGTCATGTCCCCTCGACATCCTCTCCCTCCAGCTGGATGCTCTGGAGTTCATCCATGAAAATGAGTATGTTCACGGGAACCTGACGGCTAGGAATGTCTTTGTGAATCCCAGGGATCTAAGCCAGGTAAGAGCCAGACCGCTCCAACACATGCATGCACACACGCACACATGCATCAACACCCCTTTCGTGCGGCTGGGGATGTGGCTCCATTGGTAGAGTACTTGCGCAGCGTGCATAGAACCTTGGCTTCCATCTCTGAGACCAGATAAATCGAGCATGTTGCCATTCAACTGTCTTCCCAGCCGTCAGGGAGTAAATACAGGAGGATGGGGAGTTCAGTCACTCAAAGCCAGGTGTAGTAGTGCATGCCTTTAATCCCAGCAGTTGGGAGGTAGAGGCAAGTTATCTCTGTAAATTCAAGGACAGCCTAGTCTATGTAATGAGTTCCAGTACAGCCAGGGCTATATAGAGACTATCTCCAAGCAGTCAGTGTTACAATTTGGGAATGAAGCATCTCTCCAGAGGCTGGTGTGCTGGTGGAGTGCTGGAAGTCCTGGCAAAGTCTCTTGCACAAAGCAGCTTGGGTGTTAAGCTCAGTTCCCAGAGTTGGATTTGTGAGTGCCTGCATCAAAGGGCTCTGACTCCACACTAGACTAGACTTATTTACTGATGGAGCCATACTTTAGGAATCAGGAGTGGGGCTCCAGGAGCATGCCTTTCAAGGATAAATTTTGTCTTGTCCTTGCTTCCCCTCCATTGCTCTCCCTGATCCCCAGTCACCATGAGGCGAGAAGTCCCCGCTATTTGGTCCACCATGATGTTCATTCTCACCTGAGGGTCCAAAGTAGGGATGCAGCTGAGTTTATGCCTAACCTTCTGCACCAATAGGCAGCTGCAACCTTCCCCTTCAATGCTGTCAGGGCTATAGACAGCTGCTGGCACAGGCATCTGTGCCCACAGAGTCTACCAGCAAGGCTGCAGTCCTAACCTCAGGTCTGTGTGCCTCTTTGTCCACAGGTGACCCTGATGGGCTATGGCTTCACCTTCCGCTACTGCCCGGGTGGCAGACATGTGACCTACAAAGAAGGCAGCAGGAGCCCCCATGAGGGAGACCTGGAGTTCGTTAGTGTGGACATTCACAAGGGATGCGGTGAGGGGGGACCTGGGGTTCGCTAGTGTGGACATTCACAAGGGATGCGGTGAGGGGACCTGGGGTTCACTAGTGTGGACATTCACAAGGGATGCGGTGAGGGGACCTGGGGTTTACTAGTGTGGACATTCACAAGGGATGCGGTGAGGGGGGGACCTGGGGTTCACTAGTGTGCACATTCACAAGGGATGCGGTGAGGGGACCTGGGGTTCACTAGTGTGCACATTCACAAGGGATGCGGTGAGGGGGGACCTGGGGTTCACTAGTGTGGACATTCACAAGGGATGTGGTGAGGGGCTCAACACCATGACACACTCCTTATCCTGGGCAGCTCCGTGCATTTTCAGTCTTAGGCAGGAGACACCAGAAATAAAGGGTCAGAAAAGGTGCCATGATGGAGACTGGGAATATAAGCAGTATCCTGGCCATGTAAAGGATTTGTCCCCATCAGCACCAAGGAGAACTGGATGGTGGCCTTGGAGCAGTGGGGATATGGGATTTAGGACAAAGGTAGGCAGCTTTGTCGTACTTGCAGAGGTGATGCGTGCTGCCATCGGGTCAGCTAGGAATGCAGGTGGAGAAGTGGGGCCATCCATTACTGGGCATGAGATCTGTATGGTGTCCTGAGAGTTAAGCATTGAACAAGAAGGGCCCGGTTATCCATGGGAAGTGTGCAGGAGGGGTGACCGCTCTAGGCGGATTCTCCATCCCCTTTCTTGACTCTCAGTGTCATGACCGTCCACATCTGCTTCCATCAGACGAGTCTCTGAGCAGGGCTGGAGCCTGTACTGCACCAGGGCAGGAGGGGAAGCGGCTGCTGCACTTAGCACACAGCTGTCTCAGCAGCGACTTAGGAGGCCAAAGGAGCGTCCCGCCTCATGCTGCTGGGTCTGCCCTGTTCTGTCTCTGTGATGAGGTAGCTCCATGCTGCAATCTTTTCCACTTAACTGGATGGGAAATGAACTCCAGTCTGTTTGGGAGGCCGGGCCTGGTAGACAGGCCCTCAGAACTCATTGGATTAAGTATTTTAACAAAAGATGACTCGGTAGAGTAATTGGGAGAGATAATGCAGTATGTGAGAGTCATGGGGAGAATAAGAGAGGCTGGGCGCTGAGCATGACGGCTAAGACAGTCTTCATGACTCTTGATGGAAGGTTAGGGATAGACATGGGAGGAGGTGGAGCGTTCAGACTGAGCCACCACCTCTCCCTTTTCTCCCCAGGGCCCTCTCGCCGTAGTGACCTCCAGACCTTGGGCTACTGTATGCTCAAGTGGCTTTATGGGTCACTGCCATGGACAAACTGCCTTCCCAACACCGAGGAGATCACTAGGCAGAAGCAGAAGTGAGTATAAGGGTCTCCAGCACCCAGTCCTAGCCCAGGCACCTGTTCAGGGAGGGGAGGAATTCACATCCCAGCGGAAAGCTGAGGGATGAGAAGGCAGCCGCCCACAGAGCCATAGCCCTCTGCTGCCTCAAGTAAAGTCTCTGAGGTATATTCTAACAGAAGGGAGTGTGGGCTCTATGGCCATGCCACCCACGGTTGGCTTCTGGCTCCACTCTTCTGGGTACTGGATTAGTACCCGTGAGCCCCCATGTTCCCCCACCATGGACTGCTGTATAGCACCCAAGTCACGAGATGTGATGGGTTCGGAGGTGAGTGTACTCTGCACAGGCTTCATGCTCATTGCATGCAAGACACGGCAACTCATTCATATGGCATGCACCCCTAGACACCCTGCTTCCGTGCCCCAGGACTAGTGCCTTTGGTCTCAGCACGGGAGTCTCCGGCCCTAACAGCTGCTCTTTAAGCAGCTGGTAAGAAGGACAGAGGGAAGCAGTGTACTGGGGCTCAGCACCAAGGATAGCAGCAGGAAACCCGCTTTGGGACTGGGCACTGTGGGCCACCAAGGAAACAAAAATGGCTTTGAAAGGAGGCACTCCACTGTACACTTTGGCACCGAGGACAGTTAGATGTTGGCGCAGGGTCTGCTGTATGGTGAGGAAATGGGGCAGGGTCCATAGGGTGTGGTGCTCAGCACAGGGACTTTAGACACCGGCCCTGGGGATTCCCCGAAGGTCCTGGATCTGTCCAGACTGGACGGCAGCAGGTCCTGCAACCATCCAGGATGGACTTCACAGGCTGCCGAAGTCCAGACAGAGATCAAGCCTCTAGACTGTCTCTAGGATTCTCAGTGGGGCCTTTGGAGGATGAGATCTCTGAGAAAAGAGGGAGCACCCAGGGAACACCCCCAAGCTGCTTTGCTTCCTGTTCTTGGGGTACTATGACTCCTTGGTTGTTGTTCCCCCACGGCATGTGCCACTAACTCTCCTGTTTAGCCACAGCATGTGGTGCTGTTTCTACGGTAGGAGAATAGTTTCCTTTCGAAATGGAGCCCAGTGGAGTGAGCAGGTGGCCCAAAGGCTAAGAGGCCGAGGGTAGCAGGTTAGTAAGATGCTCCTGGGACTTGGACTAGGGACACTCCAGGAAGCCTGCAAACACTGTGGGCATCCGAGATGTAGTGGTGCATAAGCAGTGAGGAACACTGTGAGCCAGCCTGGGCTTGAGTGTGACACAAAGGTGATGGAAAGAAGCAGTCATCAGGTCAGGGTGGTGGCCTAGAGCGATGAGGAAAGGAGGCACCCTCTTCCCAGGTTGCAGAAAGCGGTGAGTGGCAATGAGGCTGTGGTTCTAGGAGCATGGGACAGGGGCTGCTGGTGGGCCCTGTGTTCCTGTACTCTGCACTGGGGAGTCACATGGAGGGGTAGGGCTGGGGCTGCTCAGAGAGAGACCATAGGGCCCTGGCAGAGTCTGAGTAGGAGGCCTGAATTAGCCATAGCCAGGAAGGAGCACGGTGGAACTAAGGCTCAGAAGGGTGGCCTTGAGAAAGCTTGACTGGAGGCTGGAGAGGAAGTGAATGGTGGAAGCCAGCCTGGAGTCTAGATGGAGAACCGGTGGGGTAAGGACTTGGGGAGGCTTTCCTAAGTGGGGAGTGTTTGCGTGTGTGGTCCATCCTCACATATTAAAATATTTCATATTGTGATCCTACTGAAGGTATCTTTAACAACTAATACAGTCTTGTGGAATTGGGTGTTCACCTGTAATCTCACACAGTCACCAGACATGCAGATTCCTAGGCCTGGGGGTAGCTCAGTACAGGGTCTGCCTAACATCTGTAATCCCAACGTGAGGAGGTAGAGGCGGGAGGATCAAAAGCTCAACTACAGAGTGCATTAAAGGCCAGCCTGGGCCACACGACATTATGCCTCAAAGCACTAAACCTTCGATAGCGCTGTGAAGGTTGCGCGTTAGCTAGTTGAGGGAGCTACTGTGAGCAGAGGGGATCTGGGCCTCTGTTCCCCACACTCAGCAGTGTCATCCAGAGCTGTGATGTGGCTGGAGGTTTCTCTCCTGCCCACCAGTTCACACACATGAACCCGGAGGCGTACTGCTAACTGCAGACTGCGTGGACTGTCAGCTCAGGCTCATTATTAACTCCTTACAACTTCACCATCTCTGTTCATCTGTGTCGCCACCTGCCATCTTCCTCCTGCGGTCGCTGGCGCCTCCCAGACTCTGCCTTTTTTTTCTCTGTATCTTTGCTTGGATTTCCCACCCGACTCTATTCAGCCTGGCTACTGGCTAAATCACCTTCTATATTAACCAATGGTAATAAAACATATTCATAGATACAGAAGGCCATCCCACATCACTGTGGTTCTGGGTCCATTAATTGAGTTCTCACGGCAAATCTGTTAAGACATAAATACATAAATACCACACTTGAGAAGTGTGGGCGTTGGATGTGTTTGTTTGTGCACATACACATGTGTGCATGCTGTGTATGTGTGTATATATGTATAGAGGACACCTCATCTTTTTTTTTTTTTTTTTTTTTTTTTTTTGGTTTTTCAAGACAGGGTTTCTCTGTAGCTTTGAAACCTGTCCTGGAACTAGCTCTTATAGACCAGGCTGGCCTTGAACTCACAAAGATCCGCCTGCCTCTGCCTCCTGAGTGCTGGTATTAAAAGCATGCACCAATGCACCACCACCACCGCCCGGCTAAGGACTCTTCACCCTAAGGACACATCACTTTCCTTTCCCATGTGCTTCTCCCCTGAAGGTATCTGGGCAGCCCTGAGCTTTTCGTGGGACTGTGTGGCCGCTGGAACAGGGTCTCAGGTATGTCCTATGTCCTGGAGAGGATGGGCAGGCAGGCCACATGGCTTGGAGACCTTTCTTTACCTACTGTGTTTTTCTTCTTTGAGTTTTACCAATTACATGTGCACTGTGTGTACCTCTTGTAGGAAACAAACAAACAGAAAACATGTAAAAATGTGTAATGTCTCCCAACAGTAACCGAACACACACACACATAATTCTTAGGTTGTTTGGAAGCTAGGAGTGGAATCCAGGGCTGGTGCAGGCCAGGCAGATGCTCACCACTGAGCCATATCCCAACCTTTCTTTTACTTTTAATGGAGCTTTATACATTTTGTTTATTTAATTCGATATAGGGTCTTCTATATCAGCCTAAACTGGCCCCAAACTCACTGTGTACCCCAGGCTTGCCTTGAAATCACGCTCCTCCTTCCTCCACCTCCAGAGGTCTGGGATTACAGGCAAGCACCATGCCTGGATATACATACAGTTTCTTGTTTGTTTGTTCTTAATTCTATTTTTTTATTTTTACTTTTATTGAGAGAGAGAGAGAGAGAGAGAGAGAGAGAGAGAGAGAGAGAGAGAGAGAGAGAGTGTGTGTGTGTGTGTGTGTGTGTGTGTCACAGCCTGGGTGTGGAGGTAAGAAGACAACTTCAGTGCTCTCTTTCCTGAGGCTCAAACTCAGCCTTGGTGGCAAATGTCTTCACCCACTAAGCCATATTGATGGCTTTGTAATTTTTGTTTTGTTTTTGTTTTTTGGATTTTTTTTTCTTTTGGTGTTTTGTTTTGGTTTTGGTTTGTGAGACAAGGTTTTTCCTGTATAGCCCTGACTGTCCTGGAATGCACTCTGTAGACCAGGCTGGACTCAGACTTACAGAGATCCACCTGCCTCTGCCTCCTGAGTGCTGGGAGTAAAGGCGTGCACCTCCACTACCTGGCAGGCCTTATCATTTTTTAATATAATTGTATTACTGAGATTGGGTTTCTTGTCTTCCTTGCTTGAGACAGGTAGATTGTGGAGGTTTCTTACATTTAATTTGTAGGATTTTGTTGTTTGAGACAGGCTCTAACCTGTATTTACCTGCCTCAAATACTAAGACCAAAGGTGTATGCCTCCAGCCATTTTATAGGATTTGGTAAGTTTTGTTTTTTGTAATTAAAAAGTCCATAATATCTTTGACTTTAAAACTGAATTATAGTCTGGGAAGATGGCTCAGTGTGGGCTACATGTTTAACATGTAAGTGCGAGGTCTGAGTTCAAATCCTCTGAGCCTACATGAAGCCAGGTGCAGTACATATGTCTATAAGCCGGTATTCCCATCTCGAGACAGAAGGCAGAAGTGGAAGTCCTGAAGTTCATGACCAGCTGCCCACCACGAGGCACTGCTTCAGTTATGGTGGGAGATGAGACCCAACACTCCGGCTCTCTGACCTCTCCAGGCATGGCGCACACACACCTACATGGACATACTTCCTCGCATGCACACGGAAGATTGAAAACTGAGGTGTGGCTTTGTAGTCATGAAATCAGTTTGGTGGCTGAACACTAGAAGTTAGAAGAAGAGGAGGAGAGATGGCTCGGCGGTTAAGAGTATTTAGTGCACGCCTTTAATTCCAGCACTCAGGAGGCAGAGGCAGGCCAGTCCCAGTGAATTCAAGGCTAGTCTGGTCTACAGAGTGAGTTCCAAGACAGCTAGGGCTACATGCACCGCGAAACCCTCTCTTACCAAAACAAAACTCCATGAGTTCTGAGTCAACCTGGTCTACACAATGAGTTCTAGGTCAGCCAGGGCTACATAGAGACTCTGTCTCAAAAAATCAAAACAATAATAATAAAAATGTTTCCCCAGCACTCAAGAGACCAAGGCAGTAGGATTGTCAGGAACTGGAGACCAGCCTCTGCTACATAGTGAGTTCCAGGCCAGCCTGGGCTACAGAGTAAGACTCTTTATAGACTTTTTTTTTCCCCCAAACTAAAAAAGAGCCCTTTTCTTCTAACCTGTGTGATGTAAGGCCCACACCTACTTACAGGACCAAGGTTACCTGATATGGCTGGCGAGAAATTACACCAAGCTTGGGTTGGAAGGGCCCATAGCAAGACTGAATTTTATTGAGAGCAATCAGACTTTGTATACTCTTATCAGAAACAATATAGTGGCAATTTCCAGGATGGATACGTTGTAGTTACCAGGATACAATGTTACTGGCAAGCCATACAGAGCTTAATGTCTAAGACCAATTGTCCTGTCAAGCATCCATGCTTCCTTGACTGCTAAGGAACATACTGAGAAACACAAAGCAGCCCGAATGCTTCACTGTCTGAGGGAGTGCCTTGATTCTCAGGAACACAGTCCCCCAGGAACCATGGACTCTCTCCTGAACAATCTATGACCCATGCCTCTCAAGGCAGCGAGGCCAAGCCAGCTCCATGGTTCCCTGCAGCGTGGCACACCTCATTTTGTGCTGCCGTGAACTAAATGTTGTTTCTCTTTTCCATGGTTGAAACCTTTTTAAAAGAATACTTTTTGGGGCTGGAGAGATGGCTCAGTGGTTAAGAGCATTGCCTGCTCTTCCAAAGGTTCTGAGTTTAATTCCTGGCAACCACATGGTGGCTCACAACCATCTGTAAAGAGGTCTGGTGCTCTCTTCTGGCCTGCAGACATGCACACAGACAGAATATTGTATAATAATAAATAAATAAATATTCAAAAATAAATAAAAAATAAAGAATACTTCTTTGCACATAGGGCTTGCCCACAGTTTCTGCTGGCCACAGAGATGCCCGTCTGCTTCTCTCTGCTCTGTGGCTCCTGTGTGCACTGTGCTCATATTTCCATCCGGCCTCAGCTGGAGCCTGCAAGCCCATGTTAGGGGTGCACATAGGTTTTCCTCTCCTGGACGTGCTGGAAAGTAGTGTGGTGGGAAGGGGTGGGGCGGAAGAGTGGCCCTACGTGGCAGCCGCTGGCTCTGAATGGTGAGCTTCCCACACATGGACAGCAGACATAGGACTTTAAGTGGCACTGAGCTCAGGGATCTGGGGATGCCACCTCTCAGCCCTCTCCTGTGCTTTTGGGTGTCTTGATCACAGAGACCCTGCAGGAGTACCTGAAGGTGGTGATGGCCCTCAATTACGAGGAGAAGCCGCCTTATGCCACGCTGAGGAATAATCTAGAAGCTCTGCTGAAGGATCTGCGGGTGTCACCCTATGACCCCCTGGACCTCCAGATGGTGCCTTAGGTGGAATCCAGGTGAGGAGGCTGTTGTCTTAACCCCTCACCCCCAACCAGGCCTGTGAAGGACTGTTTGTCCCAGACCCAGATCCTGGTAGGCCCTTGGCTTCCCCATTGGCTCCTAAAATTTGTTCAGGAGGAAGCAAGATAGCTGGAACTCAGCTAGATGATCTGTGGTAACCAAACAATTCTGAAGGCACCCAAGTGATGCTGTACACCTGCCCACTCTTGCACTTTGTGTGTTTGAGACAGGGTTTGAGAAAGTGAGGAAGCTCAGGCCATGCCCAAACTTTATGTAGCTGAGGGTGACCTTGAGCTCCCATCCTACTCAAGAGTACTGGGGTGCCCAGTGCCACCATGCCCAATTTAGGCATGTGGGAATGGACCCCAGAGCCTCCCTCGTCATCCTAGGATTCCTTGATGCCGGTCACATTTACCTCATCTCACCTTCACGCCCAGTCCTGCCTCCCATCAACAGGGCGACTGACTTTGAGTTGTGTTGGTCTTGGGCCACTTGCCTCCACATTGCAGGCCCTCGTGTTGTTGATGCACCTCCAGTACCTCCCAGAAGTCTGGCAGGAAGGAGGGGCTCAAAACCCTAACGTTCCTTGCAACCATGTTTATTATTTTACAGGGCTTCTGACTTGCAGTTGAACTCGAGCATGAAGTAGTGTGTCCCAGCTGTTTGATCTCATTCGCTCCTGAAAACCCTTTGAATGTGCATTCTCACCGCTCCCTTAGGACATGGGACTCTGCCCCCTCAGTTTCAGGGGACCTGAGTCATCTCCCATAATGTGAAATGTCCTCATCCCTCCGCAGTTGTGGGTGAAGGTGACTGGGTGCTGGTGGCAGCAGTGGCCACTCCCTAGGGCCCTCCTTCCACAGGCATTCCTGTGATTCCATAATAAACTTTTTAATCAACACCTGAGGCATCCAGTGTTCACAGTTGAGGGAGATCTTTCTCATGTTCACCCAGCCACTCCATCTTTTCCTTAGTAATTCTAGCTGGTCAGAGTGATAGTACATACATGAAGTCCCAGGGGCTGAGAGTTGCCTTAGCATAGCAAGGAAATGTCAATCAAACAAAACCTTCCAACTTGCTCATTCCTACTTTCATGAAGTCAGTCGCCCATCCAGCCAGTGTTACCTGCTTCATCTCACCACCTTCACACCCTCCAACTATTTTCATCCATCCACACTTGCTTTCATCCTTCCTCTTTGTGTCTTCCATCCATCTGCCTAGTGCTCCATCCTGCCAGACGGTGACAGCTAGTGTTCAGCAGGTTGACCCACCAGACTATGATGGGGAGCCCCATTGGCAAAGCCATGGAGTTACAGGCTGTAAATGACCGGTTGCTTCTGGCTCTGATCTCTCAGGTGCTGCTGCATTCCTTCACCTACAACAGCTGTGGGTGCTTTCCTACTGCCTGTGATTATCTCATGTATAAACTCCACCCACTGTGGATACATTTAGCTGTGGATGGTCAGGAAGGTGGTTTCTGCTGAGTAGAAATAACACTAGGATGTTTGACATTACTCAGACTGGCATAGGAAAGTAATAGTATTCTCTGTTACAAAGACAGCTGATTTTAGACTTCAGAGCAAACTGGTTTCCCCTAGAAACAAATACATGAGGTCATTTTCTCAGGTCAGAGCTTGAAGTAGACATAACTTTCTCAGCAATGGACTTGGTGCACACTCCCAACCTCAAGGTTCAACCTTTTATTGTCTTAAGTCCTAAGTTTCAGTGTCACTTTCTGTCTAGGAAAGAGCTTTGTACACAGCCAAGTGTTACTCACTGGCCAGTCATTGTGACCTCCCTGGCCTGAGAAAAATTGTGATTTATCTTGTGAGAATGGGTCAGGCCCCGAAAACGTAATGTAATTGTCCAGAGTTTGGCTGAGAGAGGAGGTATGTGGAGCTGTGCGGAGAAGTGCTGTGTAAAGCGCTGGGCAGAGGTGTGTGTGCGTCTGTGTGTGTATGTGTACACGCGCGTGTGCGCTTAGGGGTGTAGCTAAATGAGCAGAGAGGCAAGTGTGAGGGAGGAAGCGAGATGAGAGACATGGCCGAGTTGGCAACTGAGACAGATGTAACTGGAGACGTGTGGCTGTGGAGATGCGGAAGGTGGATGGGGAAAGGGATGGTGTGCAGGGCAGAGAGGCAGTAAAGAGAGCTGTAACTATGTAAAGAGATGTAACTGCAGAGAAATGGTCAAGAAAGTATTTAAATTGAAGTAAAAGAGAAGGTTACCATCAGGAAAGTGTGTGCTTGTTTCTTTTTTCTTAAGTTATCATCAGAAATTGTATGTTTCTTTATTTACCCTCAGATAGAAAAAGTCTAGCCCAAAGATAGAGAAGAAATATTTCCTCAGTCCCTCACTGATCTGAGAAAGCTTTCTTTTTGCTCCCCTGGGTGCAATTCTTGGAGCTGGCCTCCCAGGCTGAAACACACCTGTACATCTGCCACACCCATTTTTTAAGGTTTATTTTATTATGTATATATATGTCAGTATGGATACTGTGTGTGAATTCATATACCAGCAAAGATCAGATCCCCTGGAGCTGGCATCCGAGGGGGTTTTGAGGAGCCCAGTATGGGTGCTAGGAACAAAAGTTGGGTTCACCACAACAGCAGAAGCACTTTCAACTCCTGAGTTATTTCTTCAGCCCCCAACTTGTTCTCTTCACTGGGGGATTCGAGACAGGGCTCGAACCCTGAGCCTCAGCCCTAGCCCCTCACAGTGGGGGGGGGGGACACTCATCACAATGGCAGGAGCATGTTGGAGAGAAAACCGTATGGTGTACTAGTTAACTTTCCATCACTATGACCAAAGACCATGTACACGGTGTAGACAACTGAGGAAGAAGGGTTTCTTCTGGCTCCTTCGCAGCGATTGCAGTCTGTCCTGTGGAATGAACAAGGTAGACCAAGAGACACAGAGAAGGGTCTGATATCCTCTAGCTTTCTCATTGTATTCATCCTGGGTCTCTGCCTTGGTGTGCTGCACAGGCCTGCAGGCCGAATGCTTGCTGTGTAGTCTGCTTGCTTGTTCTTGTTAAGACTCAAGAACTAAGGCTCCTTAAGACTCAGGAAGTAGAAAACATTTTAAAAAGAAAAGGGAGGGGACAAGCTGGGGATGTAGCTCACAGTAGACCACCTGCCTGGGTACATTCCACATCACTAAAGATAGGAAGGGAGGAAGGGAGGGAACCACAATGTGACTGCTGGGAATTGAACTCAGGACCTCTGGAAGAACAGCCAGTGTTCTTAACCTCTGAGCCAGCTCTCCAGCCCTGCTTTTGACCTTTTTTAGGGATAAACTAATTGGGACATTTTCATACACCTGCTATGCATTGATCATGCTCCTTCTACTACCCCCACTCTCTCTCTTTTCACTTCCCCTGCCTTGAGTCTGCGTTCCAACACATAACAGTCCCTCACTTGAGAGAATGTATGTATCTGTCTCTCTGTGTCTGGCTTTTTTTTTTTTTCTTAACATGGTATCTTTCTGTTCCAAGTATTCTCCAGCAATGAGGTTGTGGTTTCATTCATATTCATGGATGAATAATATTCCAGTGGGGTGTGTGTGAGAGAGAGACAGAGACAGAGACAGACAGACAGCAGTCCTGGCTGTTTTGGAACTCACTCTGTAGATCAGGCTAGCCTTGAACTCACAGAGATCTCTTCCCTCTTCCTACTGAGTGCTGGGATTAAAGGTGTGCGCCTCTGCCACCTGGCCCACATTTTCTTTATTTCTGCATCTGACTGATGTCAACTTGTGACTGACTAAACTGACTGACTGACTAAATTGCACATTGTGACTGGTGTTGCAATAAACATGGGTTGTGGGAATCTCCTGGTCTGATGACTTCATTTCCTTCACTGTGTCAGGATTTGTCAGTCATTTTGTTTGTTTCCTGGTTTGCATAGTTGCTTCCCAACTATACAATTCCACCAACAGTAGTGAAAAGTATCATATTTTATATCTCCGCCGGTGTGGAGTGTTCTGCTCAGCTGGAGAGATGGCTCAGAGGTTAAGAGCACTGCCTGTTCTTCCAGAGGTCCTGAGTTCAATTCCCAGCAACCACATGGTGATTCAGCTTTGCTTTTGGTTTCTGGATTGCTGCTCTAAGTGAGGAGAGCTGGAATCCCACTGCACTCTGATCTTTCTAACAGTGCCTGGGGGTTCTGTGTTCTATTCAGAATCCATTTTTGAGCTGGGAGGTGATGGCTAACATCTTTAATCCCAGCATTCGGGAGGCAGAGGCAGGCAGAGTTCGAGGCCAGCCTGGTCTACAGAGTGAGTTCCGTGACAATCAGAGCTACACAGAGAAATCCTGTCTTGGAAAAAAATTAAAAAACAGAATCCAGCTGGGCGGTGGTGGCGCACGCCTTTAATCCCAGCACTCGGGAGGCAGAGGCAGGTGGATCGCTGTGAGTTCGAGACCAGCCTGGTCTACAAGAGCTAGTTCCAGGACAGGCTCCAAAACCACAGAGAAACCCTGTCTCGAAAAACCAAAAAAAAAAAAAAAAAAAAAAAAAAAAAACAGAATCCAGTTTGGGTTTTTTGTATGTTGGCTTGGGAGAGGTAAGACAGGATCTTACTATATATTACTAACTGTCCTGGAACTCGCTATGTAGACCAGGCTGAGCTCATAGCCTTCTGTGGATGGGAGATGTGAATCGGCATACCTGGAAAATTCTTGTTTTTCTTTGTCTGCATGTGATATTTAATCAGACATCTCTTCATACTCTGATATTCCTTCTGCTTGACTTAGTCCATTCTGAGGCACTAAACTGGAGAGTTTGTTTATATTTTGTCTTTTGAGGCATGGTCTGTGTGTGCAGCATAGGATGGCCTAGAACTCAGAGCAGCCCTTCTGCCTCAGCCTCCCAAGATTTTATGTCTTGAATTTTTGTTTCCAATGTTTTTATTTGCCTCTTTTTCAAAATTCTTACCTCAAGGCTGGAGAGAGGGCCCAGCAGTTAAGAGTGTATACTGCCTTTGCAGGCTCATTGCTCACAAGTATCTGTACCCAGCTCCTGGTCCCCTCCCTGGCCTTCATAAGCACCTGCACTCGCTTGCACACACACACACACACATATGTAACACAAATGGGACCTGCTTGTTGGGATTTCTGTCCTGCCCAGTACCCCACAGCCGGCAAGCCCCAAAGAAAATCACACAGAGATCTCTAAAGGTTATAAAGCTGATTGGCCCATTAGCTCAGGCTTCTTAATAACCCTTATCACTTATATTAACCCATTATTCTGATCTATTTTTGCCATAAGGCCCAGTACCTTATCCAGTGGGGCAGGTCACATCCTGCTTCTTCAGAGTCTGGGCAGGAGTGGGAGGAATCAGCTTCCTCCTTCCCAGAATTCTCCTGTTCTCCTTGCATCATTTCTACTTCCTGTTTGATTTTCTCACCTATACTTCCTGCCTGGTCAGCAGCGTTTATTTAAACCATGATTGACAGAATATAGACAATTCTCCCGCACCACTTCCCCCTCTTTAAAAAACAAAAAACAAACAAACAAAAAAAAAAACAAAGGAAAATATCCATAGTCCATTTTTTGGATGTGGGCATAGTATTCCAGGCTACTTCCAGCTGGTTGGGGGTGCTGATAATCTTAAGGAGACCTAAAGAAAATTTAGAGTTATTATCAAGTCCTGATTGAAGTATCCTGTGAGTCTTGATCATCTCAGGCAGCAGTCTTGAACCTGTTCTGGATGAAGAACTCAGACATCTGGGCCATCTATTCCTGCCGGAGATTTCTCAGGTGGTCTTCTTTGATCAAAGTTGATTTTTCTTAACTCTGAATAAATCCAGAGCCTCTCGTTTTCTGTGGAAACAAAAGCAAACTCTCTTCTCCAAAGTAACATACCTTTTGACTTCAATTTTGAAGTCAAGGTATTTTC